TGGTCAATTTCAGCCTCTTCAGCATTGGTGGTTGGTGCATAAACTTGAATTACTGTGATGTTGAAAGGAAATCATTCTATCATTTTTGAGATTGTATCCCAGTACAGCTTTTTCCACTCTTTTGTTGACTATGAGGGCTACTCCATTTCTTCTACGGGATTCTTGTCCACAATAGTAGATATGATAATCATCTGAGCTGAATTCGCCCATTCCTCTCCATTTTAGTTCACTGACGCCCAGGATGTCAATGTTTATTCTTGCCATCTCCTGTTTGACGACATCCAGCTTACCAAGGTTCATAGATCATACATTCCAGGTTCCTATGCAGTATTTTTCTTTGCAGCATCGGACTTTCCTTTCACTTCCAGGCACGTCCACAGCTGAGCGTCCTTTCGGCTTTGGCCCAACCTCTTCATTAGCTCTGATTCTACTCGTACTTGTTCTCCATTCTGCCTCAGTAGCATGTTGGATGCCTTCCGACCTGAGGAGCTTATCTTCCAGTGTCAAATCTTTTAGCCTTTTGTTTCTGTTCATGGGGTTTTCTTGGCAAAGATACTGGAGTGGCTTGCCAGTTCCTGCTCCAGGTGGATCACGTTTAGTCAGAACTCTCCACTATGACCTGTCCGTCTTGGGTGTCCCTGCATGGCATAGCCCATAGCTTCTCTGAACTACTCAAGTCCCTTTGCCACGACAAGGCAGCAATCCGTGAAGGGGAACAACATGGTAGCAATGAGAAATTAGATGTAATGTTATAAGAATTCTCGTTTCAAATAGGCCTCGAAGTCAGTAGTTCCATGGAGAGATATATTTAATCAGGGATGTACATTGTCAGATTTGCATTGCTGCAGTTTTCTTTTGAAAGATGGTATGTAATTATTTTGAAAAGTTTGAGATGCTAATTGAAGTACTTTTCTGCAGATCTAATGCTGCCAGGGGTTATAGTGCCCTCTTGTGGTCTTCCCGAGGTGAATCGGGGTACTCTCTGTGCTGTTACCTTGGTCGGAAACAGGTATGTTTTATTTTGAAAAATTAATCTTGAAAGGTTTGTCAATGGATTTTGATTGTGTTCATTTTTATTTTGGCAAGGATAAACTGAAGATCAAAGCCAGCTCTTTGCATCCAGAACTGCAACATGAAACTGAACACATTGTTTAGGGGAAATTGCAAAATAATTTGTTTAATTAGTTTTAAAATGTGTTCAGAGAAGAATGTGTTTAGTGTATTTAAAAAATGCAAAAGAACATGTAGCCAGAGGATATGTGATGCCTGTATGACTCCCTGAGTTACACCTTCCAGTTTGAGATTCAGCTTACTTGCAAATCTCCTTGGTTCAAAACCAAGACAGTTGACATTTTGAGCTCTGCTCCTGATAACTGTTTAGCTGTAATGGCAAACGTTTAATCCAAAGAAAAGCAAATTATCTGTCATTGAGTTTTTGTTCCTCTAGGAAAGCCAAACATTATAAGATGCATGTCTTTGTAGTAATGCTAGCAAAATATCTCCTACATGCAGCTGTACTAGCTTTGAAGTTACTTGCCAAATGCACAGATTAAGCAGTGTCGAATTCTTCTTCTTTTTGTGCAAATATATGCACCTATTTTCTGCTCACTGAGCAGAGAGAATTCATGTGTGTGAGTGTGTCATATTTCTAAATACTGTAGTTAAGAAGCAACTTTCCCATCTTGATGTTTTCACCAATCACAAAATAATCTTAATAATAATAATCTTAGAACTGCACAGCTGGAAAGGACCCTATGGAACATTGAGTCCAGCTCCTGTCTGGGAGGCACAGTGGGGAATCAAACTCCCAACTTTTTGTTCTGGAGGCAGATACGTAAACCATTGAGCTATCCACTTGTGAACTACTTTGTTGCCAAATTATAGAGAAAGTTACATTTTATGAACCAGTAACATTTTATGAACAGGAAAATTTAGGAAGGCTCATGTTTTGTTTTATGCTTTTCCTTATGTTGCAAGGAGAGCTTACAAATGTAAAGGGGAGGAGAGGGTGATAAGAGTAACATATGTATTTGAGAGTTCAGTAGCACAGAAGGTAAAGTAAAGGAAGAATAAAAAACCAAGTTACATAGAAATTGATCTTTTGTAACCCACAGGGTATCTTTGAGAACCATTAGAGCTTTCCACTGGTAATGAGCTTTGTAAAGTATCTTATACAAATACGTTTATTGGTTCCTGTTGATTTGAGTTACCAACACAACCATTTTTCTTTGTCTGGACAGCTCATTTTCTCAATTTCTCATTTCAAAGAAAGATGAGCTCGTAAAGAAAAGAAGGCTCCTATTTATTTTGGTGCTGTGCTTACATGCTGATATCTGTACTTCCTATCAGTTTTCACTCTTCTCACTCATCAGGGCTTCTAGGAGAAGCAGTGATTTTCATGTATCAAGGAGCAATATCCATGGACCAGCATGATTGATCCTAGGGACTGCTTTTTCTCTGCTTCCTTTACATGTTTCAATTCCGTTTTGCACTTCCAGTTTGTGATAGTGATACAGGTTGTCAAGATACCCAGTTCTGCTGAACTCTACAGTGGCTTCCAACCCCAGACTGGGATCTAAATTTTCAAGAAGGTTTTCATTTCCTGTTTAGAGTCAAACAGCTTGTAGGTATGATGGTTTGTCTAATCTGACTGTTGTGGCAAACTATGGGTACCACAAACCAGTAAGTACAAAAGGGGGTTAAACCTTGGAAGAGAAGAAGAAAGCACTCCAGACAACCATAGTTTGACCATGACATCTGAGACAAGATACTTATATTCACTGAGCTACTAATTACAATACTTGCTCTTGATGAAGCATTAATTTTACTATTTGTCTTAATTTTTTTCAGAGCCCCTGTGGCCATTGGAGTAGCCACCATGTCCACTGCAGAGATGACTGCAACTGGAATGAAAGGAAAAGGCTTCACAGTGCTGCATACATATATGGATCAGTTATGGTGAGTGCCTAACCAAAAACCCAAGATAGCCTATAGAATGAGCATAAACCTATAAGTAGCTGTGGTTGGGTGTTTATTTTTGTCTGAAAATTAAGACTTGGGTGATGAATGCTTAGGATATAAGCAGTGATGTAGTAGTAGATATTCAAGTGTAGGTGCTCATAGTGTCTGTTCCCTAAGGGAATTCCAAAGTACAAGCAGTTGTGTTGTTCAGTTGTCAATACAATAGCCATGTTAAAGGACAGTGCATCATAACTGCTTCATTTAAGACCAAATTATCCCAGTATGCAGCAGGGATGGTTCATAATACATTTTTGCCTGGAGGAACAATTTCTTCTGCTACGAGGCTTTGAGAGCCAGTGTGGATAGAATGATGGACTAGAACTCAGGGGACCTGGATTCAAATCTCCACCTCGCCATGGAAATTCACAGAGGGATATGGGTAAAAGCACTCGGATATCTCATGTACCTTGAAAACCAAGTTAAGGTTGCTACAAGTTGGATGTAACTTGACAGCACATGACAAACCAAAATTATGGGGAATGCAGCCAAGCTCATTGGGAACTGAGCAGTATGAATGGGGAGGCCAGATGGTGTCATCCCCACTGGTAGTTGCAGTGTTTCAGTGCTTCAACCCTGTAAGTACTAATTCCAATACAATCTTGAATACAAATATTCTTATGATGAGACATGAGCTGTGATAGTAGTGGGTCTTCTGCACATATCTACAGAGTAATCAACCAGAGTGTAGTTGAGAAGGGGCAAATTTCTTTGAAATTCTTTTTTACACCAGTCATCTATTAGCCTAAAATCTCTCCTTCCTTCCTTTCTAACTCCATGATTGGATTGTACCTGTTAGGCTGGAGTATATATTTGAATGTTAATAGTTGTATAGACTTGACAGCATTAGGAACTTAACTTTTGAGCTGACAGTGCTATAGCCCCTGTTAGACACTAAATGGAATATACACCCAAAATGATGCAGGATTTCAATGGCCTTAGAATATTTTCCTGCTTGAAGTCAAAACATGGTCTTCATGAGGATTAAGTAAGTCTTATTTTGGGTATTACTCAGTGGAGTGAGAACATACCAGCACATTTCCCCCACTCTGGCCGCATTGCATTGGCTGCCCATCCGATTCCGCATCGACTTCAAAGTGTTGATGTTCACATATAAAGCCCTAAACGGTTTAGGACCTCGATACTTGGCGGAACGCCTTCTTCCGCCAAGATCTACCCGTGTCACTCGTGCGAGCCAGGAGGTGAGGCTGAGGAGCCTAACGCCGAGGGAGGCCCGGAAGGAGAAGACAAGAAATCGGGCCTTCTCGGCAGTGGCTCCTCGCCTCTGGAACAACCTACCTCCTGAGATTCGCGTGGCTCCCTCACTGGGTATTTTCAAGAATCAATTAAAAACATGGATGTTTAGGCAGGCCTTCCCATCGGATAATTCCTGACGCCTTTTTATTTTATTTTATTTTTTCCTTTCCCTTCCCCTTTTCCTTTAGTTTCCTATTTTGTTTAGTATTTTTGTTTATGTAAAACTGTTTATACACGTATATTTATTGTATTATTTTTTAATGTTGTTAGCCGCCTAGAGTGGTCCTGACACGACCAGATAGGCGGGATATAAATTAAATAAATAAATAAATAAATATTACAGTTGTTTGGCTCCTTTTTGATTAATAGCATAAGATAAATTTACTGGAGTCATTGGTTTCATAGAGTTTTTGTCCATAATCCTTTTTTCCTGTTAGACACTAAATGGAATATACACCCCAAATGATGCAGGATTTCAATGGCTTCAGACTATTTTCCTGCTTGAAGTTAAAACATGGTCTTCATGAGGATTAAATAAGTCTTATTTTGGGTATTACAGTTGTTTGGCTCCTTTTGATTAATAGCATAAGATAAATGTGCTGGAGTCATTGGTTTCATAGATTTTTTTGTCCATAATCTTTTTTAAAAAATTGAGTAGATATTTGCAGATGTTCACTGCTGTTTTTATTTCCCTGGAATAGAATTATGTTTATTTGTTTTACAGTGCAGAACTCTATGTTATATGTGATCCTACCTCTTTGCCATGTATTTCCCTGGAATAGAATTATGTTTATTTATTTTACAGTGCAGGACTTTGCCATTAGCTTTGCCATTAGCTTCTCTCTTGCTGAAATCGGAATTTGGAGTAATATTTTCCTGTGTCACTTCTTGTTTTCTGTTTAAATAACAAGGGGGCTTGGTGACAAGTCATGCCCACCCACAATAGCCCCTTTAGAACTAGAACGTTCACAAAACGAGGGTACTGAAGAAGAGGAAGAGAAGAGTAAAGAAGGGGAGCACCGGCTTCCTGAAAGCAGCCTCACAGTTGATCCATCCTTGCAGACACAAATTGAAGACCTGAGCATGGAGGATGCTGTTCAGTTTGATGATACAAGAGAAAAGAAGGAACCCAGTGAAAATGAGGCTACTGAAACAACTGAGGAAGATCACCCAGATGTTCCTCAGGAGGCAGAAAATAGAAGTCCACAAGGTATAACTGTAGGAATGAATAAAGGGCTATATATTCCAGAGAAGTTGTAACAGCAAACTGTCTGCTGAGAACAATTCAAGGTATAACTGTAGGAATGAATAAAGGGATATATATTCCAGAGAATCTGTAACAGCAAACTGCTGAAAACAATAAGTGCTTCCTTGTTACATTTTGCTCTCTTTGGGACACTTAATGCATTGTAAACCTAGCTTGTGTGTTGTGTGTATAACTACAAGGGTGAGGAACCTCTTTCAGTAACAGTTTGAGCCTGAGGGTCAAATGTGAGATTTGGTTTCAGATATGTTCTTGGCAGTTGCATTCCAGTGGTAGGCAAGGCTGAATGGAAAAGGGTGGAATCAAAAATGCCCTAAAGAGTAGGATCAGCACATTATGCTTGCTTGTGCCTCCAATAACTAAGTTCCGGAAAAGGCATTTCACTATTCTAGAATGAATCCAACAAAACAAAGAAATAGAAAAAGCTCAGAACCCACCAAACAATGTTATCAGTAAACAGAGGTGTGGCCACTTGTAGAAATCCAGAGGTTAGATTCTGAAGTTCCCCATCTCTGTTAAAATATGCCTCTCTCTTTTTCCCTCTGGTATTCATTGAGAAAGGTATGCACTTTATGGCAGGTTCACTCATTGCCTTTGTAACTCATGCATCCCATACTGAGTTCAGTGGCTACTGCTAGTTGGGCAACTTTTTTACTCTAGAAGTATAATACAGTGGTGCCCCGCATAGCGATGATAATCCGTGTAGCAAAAATTGCTACAAAGCGATTTCGTCACTATGAGAAAATAAAAAGCCCATAGGAATGCATTAAAACCCATTTAATGCGTTCCTATGGGCTTAAAACTCATCTTTAAGCGAAAATCCTCCATACGGTGGCCATTTTCACTGCCCGGTAAGTGAGGAATCGGTGCGAAAACACAGCAGGCGGCCATTTTTTTACCCTGCAGCCATTTTGGAACCGCCAATCAGCTGTTGGAAAATCATCGCTATGCAATAATCAGTAAACAAAACAGCGAACTGATCATCGCAACTCAGCTGTTGCCATTTAAAACATCGCAATGCGATCGCTTTTGTGATCGCAAAATCTTCATCACTATGCAATTTCATCGTTAAACGGGGCGCCCATTAAGCGAGGCACCACTGTATTTGGACAGGTGTTATGATGACTTTTATATTCTTTTAATATTATGTGTCTGCATGATTCTAACAAAAAAGTGTGGCAGACACTATTGTATGATTTGCATATGGGAAATTATGATGTGTAGAACCAACCTCTTCTTTCTTAATAACACTAAGTTCAACACTATTAGCTCAGAATGGGAGTAGAGAGGTTCCCTGTGTGACAGTGGCCTATAGCTAACTGGATCTGTTAGCTATAAGTCCTGCAAATGAACAAACTTGTCTTTTTTGTTTTTACTAGAGCAAATGGATGCATTGCTCCATCAATGTTTCTTTCATGCCTTAAAATGTAAGGTCAAGAAGTCAGAGCTCCCTCTGCTGACAAGCACCTTTCTACGGAACTATATGTTCTTATGCTGGTAGGTGTACTAAACTTATTCTTATGGAATAGATATGAGCATCTGGAGGGTACCACTCTAAATTTTCTGCAGAACACTCCTTTTTATTGGATTCTTGTGATTTTTACTCCTGTTTACTGTGTAGCATTGGATATTGCTATAATTCATTCATTCAGAACTTTATTATTCAAAGTGAATTACAACAGCTAGAATTGTATTGGTGATTTATGTTTCTGTTCATGAAATTACACAACTCACTGACAGTTGCTTACTGACTGGATGCACACCTTTAAATTACACAACTCACTGACAGTTGCTTACTAACAAGGCACTGGATGCACACCTTTTGCATAATTGGGTGTGCACTTTGTAACATGAATGGCATATCATTAATTAGCAGCAGTTTGTTGAAATAAATTCTATTTAATTTACGCATACAAAAGTCATCAACAGGTTCCTGGCCCCAAATCAATACACTGATACAAAGTTCATCTTTCAGAATTCAACTCGTATCAAAGCAACTTGCAAAACTGGCAGGCAACTGTAATTCATTACACATTTTGTGTCTCATTGTCAGTCTACCAGAATTTTATAAAGCTCTCTCTCTGACAAAACTAACAAATGTTTTGTACATTGTATCAACATAGTTTCTATAAAAGTGGTCACATTCCTGTTATGCAGCAAACATTACAGAAAATTTGCTATCTGTGAACAAAGGGGAAATTAGAATACAAGAGTGCTAAATCTTCAGCTCTTTGGCCACAGAGACATTGCATTTGGGATCCTTTAATATTGACATGAAAGAAAGCAATTGGCCTGACTTAGATGCAGTAAATACTGTGCCAGCTGTATGCCACATGGATCAGTCTCTCATTTAGTCATGCCTCTGGTTTATTAAGCAGCTTTATTGTGATCCAGGTTAAAAGCCATTTAAAAAAATGAAATTGCCATAAAACAAGAAGAAATGCCCATCCTCTCTGCCTGTCTTGCAACTTTTATCACTGCTTGTTTTTTGTTATTTTGTTTTTAAATTAAAAAAAAACTCCTGCCCCTGGCTTTAGTTTAACTGGCTTCTGAAACCTATGTGGGTTGAGCTTTAGAGAAAGCTGTTACTTCATATTACAGTTCCCAGAATTCCCAGTGATTGTTGTGCCTTGACGATTTTGGGAACAGTTATAAAAGCAACTGTTCCAAAGATTTTATTAGCTCAGAAAATTCAAAGATGATGAAATACTATTCTGCCAGTATAACTGTTGGTAGAACATTTGGCAGGATAACTGCAATCAACACTTAGTCCAGTAGAATCATAATGAAGTATCTCAAGGCAAAGATCTTTTGGCGCTCTCTTGCCTTCGAAGCAAAATTGCCAGGAATTGAACTTGGAGCCAATTGCATGCGGAAAGTGCACCGTTCTCAGAGTCAGCTTTAGTTGCATTCTGAAAATTTAGTTTTCTGCCTTCTACAATGTGGGTAGAGCAAGAGTAAATAGAATATGGCTTTTGAATTACATTCTGCAGTCCATCTGGTAGCTACCTCCATTTGGGTGGGTAGGTAGGTAGATGGTTGAGTGGCTCATGTGAGACGGGAAAGACTATGGGATAATTGCACTCCACAGAATACTTTTGTCTGTGTTGTGTGATAATTCAGAAAGGGGAAACGCACCTATCTTCCAGTAGAAACATAACGAAAATAAATGAAATGGCTTCTGTGGAAGGTAATTCCATTTGATATATTCATTGAGACGTTAAATTCTGTAGTTCCAGTCTCATTTACATGCATATTCTATAAAATATATCAAGAAGAGAAGTCAAAGCTGTGGGATGGGAACACAACTTCAGATACTTAGGGTTGATCTTCTGCTATTTTTCCCCATGTAATTGTTTTCTTACTTAATTAACAGCCCAAAAGGCCAGCAACTAGACATGAAGAAATCTAGCTACAAAAAGGTGAGTTGCCTTTCTATACTGTGAAAGATTGAGGGAATAGTTATTTAACTTTGATTTTTAATAGTGTGGGGATGCCTCTGCCTGTCTCACAGATATCTGTCCTGTCGCAAGCAGATTGTGGCCACATCTGCATGTTAAAAAGTTCAAGAATGCTGAAGATTTTTTCAAATGTCATTGTATTTGTGGCCTGTTTACCAGACTGTTGTTCCCCATCTTGTCATTTATTTGTAATTGCATCTATTTCCTTCATTGCCCTCCATGAAGAAATATGTGATAAGAAAGTTCTATTTGCAGTGTTTTGTTTAAAAATGCCTTCTTGCACTTTACTGCAGGGATACATTCCACTTAATGTGTTTATGCATTTCCTATATGTACACATAAAAAACTGCTTTATACACGTCTGAGGATTGCATGCTTGTGTGATTCAGAGACTTCTGTTCATGGGGTTGTACACCTGCCTTACCTGACACTGCCCCAAATGGTAGTGCAGACTGCAGTGCCTTGGTGGTGCAAAAGGATGGGGCTGCTATCTGTGCTACTTAATGCAGGTGCATGATGTTGCCTGTTATACTATACTTGCATGAACATCCAGATTCAAATGTATGCGTTCTTTCTTTCAGTTCTCTAAGTTCCTGCAATCCATGCAGCAGCAGAAGGTCATACAGGTGAAAGAACTGAATAAAGGGGTGGAGAGCATCGTGGCTGTAGACTGGAGACACGAAAGGTAGGATTTCCACATGTTATAAACGAGAGTCTATCTTGAGGAATATCTGAGTTTTCACAGTGGGAAAGGGTTCATGTGCTTTCCTTCTATGATGCTCTAAAAGGAGTCAATGAGCTGAGGTGTCTTTAAGAGCAGAGTGTATAATTAGCAGAGATGTTGCTCTTTTCTTTTATCCCAATTTGCACATTCTGAAAAATATTTTCTCTCCCACACAGAAGATGAGTAATTGGAGTTAGTATCCTGGACAAACTGCTATTTCTGTGATTGAGTTTGAAAAGCTAAAAACTACAACGACAAAATCCGGTAAACAAACTGCTGTCCTCCAGCAGCAGATAAAGAGGGATTTTTTTTTTGCAAGTAACAATCTATAGACACACTGTTCATGATCTTAAGTTAAATAACCCAGTGTGTTTATCAGCAAAATGTATTTACATTTGATAGGATTTTCCCCCTAATTATTTATTAATATACAAAATCATGTAAAGCAGATTAAAAAAGGGAAGAAACATCTGCATTGCAAGAAAACCTCAAATAAAATACAACACAATTTAAAAGAATGTTACAAAACACAGAAGAAAAGTAAAAGTTTTGTGCGATATGAAATTTAAGCATATTTGCATAGAGTTCCTTTTTGATATTTTATTCTGCTTCTACTGTAAGAGTTATGCCTGTGCAGCACAGTTAGAGAAAACAAATGAATGAATGAATGTAGAAACACAGAAAACACTAATAGATATTGAAATATTAATGGCTGATAGGCATGCACCCAAATGCCAGAGAGAACTCCAATTTGGGCTCACACTGTTCTTGCTTTCTGCTAATCTAAATCTTAAGTTATGTGGCAGTTAAAAGTATTCCTCTGTTTGTAGGCATGAGCACATGAAGTATTCCATTCATGATCCTCTATGTGTTTTGAACTGTGGGATAGCTCAGTGTTTTAGATAAACTGACTGCGAAACCAGAGGTTTGGGAGTTCATTTTCCGCCTATGCCTCCATGACAGAAGCTGGACTTGCTGATCCATAGGGTCCCTTCCAGTTCTGCAGTTCTAAGATCAAACATTATTTGCAGCGCTTTGTCCTTCCACATGGGACCTAAATAAATTAAATCCTAAATTGCTGATGGCTCACACTGGGAGTATGTACATAGTACCTGCACCTATAATATCAGCTTCCATTCTTAGCACAAGCTAGGAGTGGAATTGCAGTTTCCAAACTGTTTTATAAGATTATTTACTTGCAAAATTATATTGCACTGGTCTGCATTGTAAAACTGAACCATCCCAATATTTATATGAGTTACTTGAAACTGTTGAATTATCCTGGCAGTTATGTACGCACAGTGGTCTTCTGTTGCACATTTAAACTGTTGTTACAATTTAATGTCATCTTTCTCAAAAACACTTCTTTATATTTCTACCATTTCTCTACCCTCTATATTTCATGATTTCTTTGGTACTACTGTTATCACCACTAAAAACAAACCATGGTGAATGCTTCTCCCTATTTGAACACCTACACAGGATAACATCTCAAGGACTCCAGAGTATAGGACTAAGCATGGCTTTTGTATCTCTTATGAAGTACATTATTCTAGAGAGGTTTTTAGTACATGAAGCTTTTACCATCTATTCTTGCAGCTTGGCAGGTCATACTTTTGGAAACTGGTCCTTGATTATCATTTATAAAAAGCTAAGAAGTTTTCAACAATATCTTAACCATTTTCTCCTATAACAGTTTGTCTTACCCTGACTGATATATTCCCTTATTGCTGCTGCTTATAGTGCTTTGCAGAAGGACTCCCATGCAATTGCCTCAGATGTTTATCACCAGTTATGCAACTTATAGGCAACATCTACATTCTCTCTCTCTTCATATGTTATCTCAAACTTTCTAGCATCACACTCTTAATTTTTGAGAAAAGCACACCTTTTGACCTCTCCTTGCATTCCTGCAACCCCCTTTGAAAAAATTTGAATTAGGGTAAAAACAGATTTGGTAAAAAACATTTTAAAGTTAAGGATAGATAGGAGTTGTGTTTTTTAGTTGCACACAAAAGAAGTAGAAACACAACAAATTTAATGTGAAAGATGATGAAAATATCGGACTCAAACTATACTTGGAATTTCTTCATGCTCCTCCCCCTCCAGGAGGTATACCCCCTATTTACAAACCACAATGGAACAGTATTATACCAAATGTGCATAAGAATTTAACTCTTGAGAATCACAATTGTAATCATAAAGAGGAGAGTAAGTGTTAACATTATGATTAATTTAATTAGGATTTCGCTTTTATTTGGTATTATATTGAATGAGTAGGAATGATATGAATATGCAAGTAGCATCCATAGAGATAAGATTTTCTGATTTTTTTGATTACAAATCCTGTAATTCTTCTGGGAGGTAATATGGCTCACCTGAGAGAAAGGTCTAAACTGGAAAGTTTTGAGGCCGACTTAGGCCTAGCTTTTTCCTGTTCTTGCCCTGGTGTTAGATGGGATCTTTCTTTCTTAACAGCTATTTACCCAACCAGTATGAAGATTGTCACTAAGCTCAGAGGAAATTGTGTTTGCGAGAGAGCATATAATGTCATAGCCCCTACTATTCAGAAGGTCCCAGGGCTTTGATCCTATGAGCCCTGACACTACTACACCACTTCAAGGAAGCTGTTGCTGCCGAAGTGTTAGTAGTGAAAGAAAGATGTAAAGCAGTGGAGACGGGCAGGGGAATAAAATGGGTGGACACGGTGTGGCTTGTAGGAGCGCTCTTCTGTCCTACATGTGTAAATCTTGCTTTTGCCTCCATTTGAAAGTTGGAAATGAGTATGCTTACCTGTCATCTTTCCCTACTGCCGCCCATGCTCGTTTTGCCAGTCTGCCTTCCATTTCTGCTAAAATTGGCAATGGATTGGTGTTGATGAAGATACATTGTAATGCTTCGTCTCCTTTCTCCTCCTCCAGGATCATCTTTGGTGGTGGTGATGTGTTGATACTGGGCTGTTGGGTCTTGTTTCCCTGGGGTGGTTCTATATTGTCTTGTCCCCCATCCATCTATGATGTCACATACACATAGCATTGTGAAATTAGCATTTTACAGGATCTTTGAGTTCTCATTTTTTGCTACACTATTATATGATGTTGGGGAGTCCTACAGTCATCTGTTAGAACTGGCAGGACTCCTGTGCCATAATTCTGTCACAAAGGGCACTTGTGATGTCAGGGAGGTTGCAAAGAATGTAGAGGGAGGAACCATTCAGATCAGATTTCTATAGGAGACTGACCACAGATACCCCCTAAGGCTATGAATGGAACTCCTCCACACACCCTTTCCCCCTGAGAGGAAGTCCAGATTACAGCTCCATATTTTCTTTACCATAAAAGCACTCCTGGGTACTCTAATTCTAGAAAGTCCTGGGAAGGCTTGCCATAAGTCAGAATAGATTTGATGGCCTGTAATTATTATTGGTCTGTATAGCTCAAGGGTTTGGGCACCTGGCTATGAAACCTGAGGTTGGGAGTCCAATTTCCCCACTGTGCCTACCATGACAAGAACCAGCCTGTTTAGCCTTGGGCATGTTGTACAGCCCCAGAGCATCACCCAAAAGAAATAATGTGTACATTTATTTGAGAGCACATAATGATATTAATTATTAGAATCATTCTGAGAATATTCTGGAATGTTCCACTTCTTAGTTTACTCTTCCTGCCCATCCTCTTGCAGCTACCTATATCCTCAGCTCATATTAGCACATATGCTTACTCTTAGCTGTCCATTTGTCTGGACATAGTAGTTAAGAAAAATGAGGGGAAAAGACCTGTTCTTTCTCAAGACAAACTGACAGCCAAGAAGGTTGGTGTGAGCCCCTCCTTTTATCATGGTTTTCTAATGTTTTCTTGCCGGAACACCAAAGGGGGGGTAGTTAGGCCAAGAAACCTGGACTGGGTTCTACTTAAGGAGAGCTGGACTTTGCAACCCACTACTGTTACTTAGCTTGCAGTATGAATTAGGAAACAGGTGGATAATATAGCTTTAAAACGATTATTTGTTTTGAAGCAAGTGACTCATTCTGATTGGAATGTCTTATTCTGGCAGAACAGATTTTGTCTTCTAGAGACATTAATAGAATTCCTGGCTGGGTAGGAAGAGGGAGGGAACTAAATGCAAAACATGATAGTGAGAAAAGTTAATGTACTGAAAGTTTACTTTGTAGGATAGGAAAGTTTTCGGATACCAGAAATGAATCTTTGAAAATATATATACAGTGGCGCCCCGCATGATGACGACCCTGCAAAATGAAGAAATCGCATGATGACTTTTTTGTGACATTCCTGGCTGGGTAGGAAGAGGGAGGGAACTAAATGCAAAACATGATAGTGAGAAAAGTTAATGTACTGAAAGTTTACTTTGTAGGATAGGAAAGTTTTCGGATACCAGAAATGAATCTTTGAAAATATATATACAGTGGCGCCCCGCATGATGACGACCCTGCAAAATGACGAAATCGCATGATGACTTTTTTGTGACCGCTATAGCAATCGCAAAACAATGTTTCCTATGGGGAATTTTCGCTTGACGATGATTAGGTCTTTGGTTCGTGAACGGTTTGTTCGCAAAACGACAATTTTCCAGCTCCACAAAATGTCTGCCCTGTGTTTTCCAGACCCATGCTTCGCAGGGAAGCCATTTTAACAGCTGATCAGCGCTCAGAAAATAGCTTCCCCTATGGGTGATCTTCGCTGGACGACGAGGTAATTTCCCCATTGGAACACATTAAAGAGGTTTCAATGCATTCCAATGGGGAATTGTTTTTCGCTGGACAATGTTTTTGCTTAACAGCGATTTCAGGGGAACAGATTATCGTCGTGGTGCAGGGCACCACTGTATAATAAAAAATTGAATTTTTACCATATGAAGAATTATGAAGAACAACAGGCATTTTTGAGGGATTTGTTGTCTGAAAAATTAGGGTTTCCTGACTCCATTTGAGCCTGATTTGCTTGCTAGTCCTTGTGAAACCCTTGAGCAAGTACAGGAAACTAGCCAAGATGCAATGAAGCCAGCTGTGGGTCTTGTCAGCTAGATCAGTGGTTCTTAACCTTGGGTAGGTGTTTTTGCAATGAAGCCAGCTGTGGGTCTTGTCAGCTAGATCAGTGGTTCTTAACCTTGGGTTATTCAGGTGTTTTTGGACTGCAGCTCCCAGAAGCCTTCACCACCAGCCATGCTGGCTGGGGTTTCTGGGAGTTGCAGCTCAAAAACACCTGAGTAACCCAAGGTTAAGAACCACTAAGCTAGATGGAGCTACCATGCAACTGCCTTGATTTTCACAATGAATCCTCTGAATAAAGTTTCATGGTTAGCCTGTTACATCAGTCTCCAAATGTCAAGCCTCTAAGAAAAAATCCCTGTACAATCACACACTGAGGAAAGGGTACTGTTCGTGTCACCTTTTCTTCTGTGTCTGTCATACGCTCATATGTCATATACCTGGTGCAGTGGCTAAGAAGCTGCATCACAAACTGGCAAGTCCCTAGGCTGCATCTTACTTGTAACATTATTTTACTCACTTCTAAAGAACTTTGAGGTTGAGCTACTTCCCTGTCCCCCTGGTAACAGAAAAATGCTTTCTAGCATTTCCTTACCAGAAACCCAGCCTTATGCAGTGTGTGTTGACAGTGGGTATCTTATGAGGCTCCTTCAATCTGAGTTTCAGTCCTTCATTTGAAATATGGAATCTGAGTTTCAGTCCTTCATTTGAAATACTGTATATTGTAGATGATGAGACTGAACTGTCTTTACAGGATGGTTGTAAGAGCAGTGAGATAATGCATGTGCAGCTTTTCATTCATAAATGTTTAGCAGATGCTTTTGATGAATGACCTAAATCCAATTGTTAGTGCCAGTTAAATTAGACTAGTTGAATCTGTGTTGATTTAAATCCTATTTAAATATTATTGGGAACAATATTTAGATTTAGCCAATTATTATAGCCTTAACCCTAGCCTTTACCCTAACACTAACCCTAACCCTAACTTTAAATCCTATTTAAATATTATTGGGAACAATATTTAGATTTAGCCAATTATTATTAAACACTTAGTGCTTCATAACATTGCTTATACTTGTTAATTTACCACACTAATGGGGCTTGTTTCATGGCAATAGCTCATTATTGAGTCTTTGTTTTGTTACTTGGAGGACATTTAGGTAGCAGAAATAAGAGATTGTTTATGAAACTTCTGCTGAAGGGTTTTCTATACAGCAGTATCAGAAACTGAGTTGCTCATTAGGATGTCTCTTGCCTTAGAGGCAGGAAAAATGTTTCTCATTCAAAAAAGTGGCTAGTCCTCATGATTGTTCTCTCATAGTGAAACTGATCTCTCCCTCTCCATTTCAGCATTAGATCCTTTGTAGTACCAGAAACAGCAGAACCCGAATTGTCTGTCCAGGATAATAAAAGTGGTGATGGAGAACAGCTGTACCACCCTCCTGAAATCATACCCCTCTATGGTGTCTCATCAAAAATGGCTCCTTTGTTCCAGGAATCTGGATATAAGTAAGGAATATTAGAACAAGGTGCCAGGCTTGCCCTCTGTATTGTTAAGCTTCCTGTTATTCCTTGCCTGACATTGTGTGCACAAGGGCATTTGGGGAAGAGAAAAATAGACAAGCGGTTAAAAAAGTGATGGTGGGGACTGTCAGATTATAGAGTGAAGGATGCTTTTGAAATCATTTGACAGCCAAAGCTTCATAGTGTTCTTTAAGGATTGAGGTAAATGTTGTACCAGGGTGAGGAGGATTTAAAGTTTGAATATTTCTAGGTGCATGGTTAAAGGATTTGGTTTGCTTTGATTGGATAATTTCCTCTGTATTGTATTGTATTTTGATTTTAAGGAGGATTGGGTTTTTCACTAGAGACTTTTTTTTATGCTTAAGAGCTGATGTTAACTGTTGCTTCCAACACACAGCTGAGAAAATAACAAATAATCTGTTTTCTTCAGGAAAGGTCACACCTTATCCAGCAGTGAAGTGAGGAGTGCCATTATCAATTATGTGAAGATAAATGAGTTAGTTGACGAAACCAATAAAAAGTATGTAAGAACCAAAAACCTGGTTGAACAATAGGTCTATTGCTCTTCACTAAAATGGTTGCAGGGGTGATTTTCCATACTTGCTCCTCATAAGACACAACTCATATTAAACTGAAAATATTGGAATGGTTGCTAGAAAGGATGGTTTATTTGTTTTTGGTTCTCATATTCCAAACTTGAGCAGGTTGTTATAATTGGGTGTCTCTGTTATAATTATCTGCATTATAGATGTGGACAAGCAAGCCTTACTGTAGGATTGACTTTGCCTGCTCACGGGGCTGGTGCAGATGTACCTAAATATGTGCCTAACTGGATCAAGAAGCAATTTTAAAGTTACTTCTTTTCTCAAGTTATTTGGAACTGGCACCTTGTGAAATAAATCTTAGACAATTGTGTGAAATTTCAGTAGGTCAACAATATTCAGAAAGTCATTTAGAAAAACTTTTTTTAACAGAAATAATGCTCCTTGAGTGCTTTTCAAAGATAAGAGACTGGTTATGATAAATTGCCTACAGAAACTGCAAGATGGCAGGCACTTATCTTGGAGGAAGTATTGTGAAAGACAACTGGGAATATCCCTTCAAAGATGATGCCTGCAACAGCATACACACCTGTGGGCATCATTTGACAAGTAAAAGTAGCAGGAGCCTTGTGGCGCAGTGTTTAAAACTGCTGTGCTGCAGCCAAAACTATGCTCACGACCTGGGGTTCAATCCCAGGTAGCCAGCTCAAGATTGACTCAGCCTTCTCTCCTTCCGAGGTCGGTAAAATGAGTACCCAGCTCGCGGGAGGGGGCAATGTGTAGCCTGCATAATTAACTTGTAAACCGCCCAGAGAGTGCTTAAAGCGCTATGGGGCGGTATATAAGCAGCATGCTTTGCTTTTTTTCCCTCGGCTATTTGAAATAGATCTTCCTTTATTTAATTAAATTACTTACTTGTCTTAAAACATTTATTGCTCACCCTATATCACAGGATCTTAAAAGCCATATAAAACAATTTTAAAATATAAGATATTTAAAACAGTTTAAAGACAAACAGTTTAAAACACAAAATTAAAACATTCACCATTAAAACTATTGCACTAAAACCTGCACATCCCACCAGCTGCAACCCCAAAAGGCTCTAGTAGACAAGTATGTTTTGACTTGGCACTGAGAGGATACCAATGTCAGTGCCAGTCAAACCTCCAAGGGCAAGTTGGAGTGCTGTGGCAGAAAAAGTCATAGGCATAAGCTTTTAGTGAGCGTCCCAAATATAATGTTGTACATTCTTGATGGTGGTATGTTTTAGAATGGGAAAAGCATGGTTCACAGGTCACATATGGCCCTTCAGGATTTCCTGTGTCCCACAGGTTTTTCTTTGGATCTTAGAAGTTTCCTTGTACACTTAAGGGCAATTTTGCTACAATTCATTGCAAGAGGGGCTTTTTTTTTCAAAACTGGATGTGACATCTGGCCCACTTTTGAAACAATTTTCCTCTTCCAAATAAAAACAGCTCTGCAGGGCATCAAATGTTTGGCAAAAATGACTCTTGTTCTTCCTAGATAATGTAAGGGACTTTTAAATAACCATTTTAAAAACTGAAGAATTGTCAGGGCATGGGAGGTGGCTTTTTGAGGGAAGCCGCACAAGCTCTGGAAATTGCTTACTCTTGAAATATTCAATGAGCAAGTTATGGTTGTACAATGGGGTGGGTTTATCTTTTAGCCAATTTTTGGTTTGTCTTTTTATTTCTTTTAAAAACTTTGTAAGCTGGCTGAGCCAGTCCAAAGGGAGGGTATAAAAGTAACAAATAAATGATGGGAATGCACTTTCTAAAATTGCCTTTATTTGATTACAGCTTTGTAAAAGTGAATCCTATTTTGTGTGATTGCCTGCTGAACAAATCAGAGCAAGATGAAGTCTTGAAACTCAAATGGGATGACCTCCTTAGCAGGTGAGGAGGAAGGATTTCCTATTCTTTTATTACTACTGGTGCTGCCTCAACATTTCATGTAACCGCCACTGTTGTATAGGACAGTAATCAGTAATGCTTTTCTGTGTACTTTTTCTTCAACTCTTAAATGTTTTAAGACGTGTACATAACACACTGTGCTCATCTCTTCTGTTGCCTGCTAAATCTCCTCATTTGCTTTCCCCACTTTGAATATCATTATATTTTAATTTTTAAGAGAAAATTGGGAATTAAGATCAGCATGCAAAGTAAAATAAACATCTCTCTAGCAGTTGGAGACTGGTTTTAAACAATCCTTTATTCTTAAGACGCTTTATCTGTCCTCTTACATTGAAAACTGTTGCAGTCATATTTGTTGGAAAGCTACTTGCCTGAAGTTCTGCTGTATATTCCTAAGTGAATTAAGGGCCAATGTGTGATTATTTGGGGAATCATAGCTAAATTTGTCATACACCCCCCCAGCACTCATGGGGTGTACACATTACATTATTGTCGTTGAATTTATTTCCCCAACTGCCGTCTCCCACCTACATATATTGAAACTTAATCTGAAGAGGTCGGAAATTCTCCAGAACAGGTTTCTGCACAGCGTGAATGACTGAGGCAAGAAGGAGAAAGTCAGATAGCCATTGCTGCCATCAAAATTTAAGTCTATTGCAGGAATCTCAAAGCCAGAAATACTGGACTTCCATTAAGGTATATTGGATATTCTTAATTTTAATATAAACTTTCTGGCAGGTGTCTGGACCAACTGCAGCCCTTCCATCAGGTGACCGTTTTTGGACATGAACCTATCGTTAGGAAAGGAAACATTGACCCCATTGACATAAACCTAGCACAGAGATCATGTAATAAAAAGGTAAGGCTGAAGTTTTCTGAGCAAAAGGCTGAATAATGATTCTGTGGAGTCCACCACTAGGTATAATAAAAATTCACTTGGGAGGGAGCAACCGGCAGTGAGAACAGGGGAATTCTCAGGGTTCTGAGAACCCCTGGTTTTACTCCGAGTCATCAGACCCCCCAAGAAAGGGGGAGCAAGTTTCCACAGGAGAGTGGGGATGGCAGCAGAGGAGCTGGAAACGCCGAAGAAAATTAGACTGCAATCTGCTTTTCGGAGGAGTTTCTCTTCCTCAATTGCAACTGACTCGTGAAGTTGCCATGATGAATTGGTGTGTAGCTGTCCGGAGAGGGGAGAGGAAGATTTATGATTTGACTGCATGAACATAAGTCGAACGGCTATTTTCATGGCAAGTAACAGACCAGATGTTTTGTTTCTCTTTGGAAAGTTTTATTGTGGAGATGACCTCTTAAGCGGCAGAGAATCTTGGCAAACTCTGGAGGATTTTCTTACTATGCCATAATCTGGTTAGAATTGAGAACTGAGAAAGTGAAACTTGTCTCTTCCACCCTAACCCTCCCTCCTAAGGTTTGACTTTTTATAAATTAGAAGTTTAAGAATCTTGAATGACTATGAACAGTTTAAATCTATGGAACCCTCCTCTGAGCCATAAAGGAGGATTATAAATTAAATTAAATAGTCACTTTTATGACCAGAGTGTTCTCCATAAGACTCTGAATCAGTTCTGGCCAAGGTGTGTGGGGGAGAGCTGAACAATATCGTCTGTCTGACTCTTATGGTTTTCGGAAGAAAATTTAAGGGTGACTCATCACTGGGGTTTGGAAATGGTGCCCTTTATGATAAATTGCCTTCAGGAATTTGAGTCTGATCTCATCAATGATCTCAAGGCTCAGTTTTTGGAACTGGAGACAGATATCAAAGCAATATTTCTCGGCTTGGACACTATGTTAGAGACAGGAGACAAACAGACAGTATTAACTGAACCACCTGAACAACTACAATCACAAGAGACAGAGGGAGAGAACACTGCTCCTGAGGAGGAGACAGGAGATGAAATGATTGACTACTTTGAACTAATTGAACAACGACCACCGGAGGGCCAGAATGAAATACTCAAAAATGAGGAAAGGAGGTGTGGGGACAAGGTGGGAAAGCACATGGATTTTATCCTGATGGAAAATGATATTAAAGGGAAGACATGGGTGAATTTAGAGGCAGAAATTTATGATCAGAGGTCAAATAGATTTGTTTTGCTCAGAAATCAAGATACGGATTATACTGAGAAGAAATTAATAAATCACATAGAAATTGCTTTAAAGAAATTTCATAGATAGCATTTTAAAACTGGCAAAAGAGGAGTAAGAAATCAATTTTAAGTACAATACTGGAGTTGAGAAGCAAAAATGAAAGGGGGGGGAAGTAACCTGCGGATTAAATGATAAAACTTATTGTTGGTTTTTTTTGAGATATATATAGTCACATAGAAAGCAATATGAGTAATTACACTATGAGCAATTTTGGCTAGATGGGAAGCTAAAGGATAGATAACATATGTAGCTATGAATTTTACAAAGGTTAGTGAATAATAATAATAATAAATTAGGTTCTTATGGTATATATACAGAGCTTAAATATGAGCGAATTACTATATTGATTATAGAGGCAAGGTTAGATGTAAAATGTTCTTCTTACCTGTAAAAGTGGGGATCCCTCAGAAATGTATTAAGTGGCTCTAGAGCTTTTGTGTGGTGAGGTGTGTGTGGTTACGCTACCTTTATGATGAAATTAGAATTGATGATAAGTATTGGATAGAGGGTGTCTGCAGGTGAAAGAATCTATAGAGAATCGCTTAGCAGCGATTTTTTTGGAATGAATTAACATCACTAAGCGAGGCACCACTTTTTGAAACTTAATCTGAAGAGACAGGAAATTCTTCAGTAGGTTTTTGCACAGCGTGAATGACTGAGGCAAGAAGGAGAAAGTCAGATAGCCATTGCTGCCATCAAAATTTAAGTCTATTGCAGGAATCTCAAAGCCAGAAATACTGGACTTCCATTAAGGTATATTGGATATTCTTAATTTTAATATAAACTTTCTGGCAGGTGTCTGGACCAACTGCAGCCCTTCCATCAGGTGACCGTTTTTGGACATGAACCTATCGTTAGGAAAGGAAACATTGACCCCATTGACATAAACCTAGCACAGAGATCATGTAATAAAAAGGTAAGGCTGAAGTTTTCTGAGCAAAAGGCCAAACAATGGTTCTGTCAACTCCACCACTAGGTATAATAAAAACTCACTTGGGTTTTTCTCGTTTTGTATGTTTGTTTGTGTTATTAATCAATTAAAAAAAACTCACTTGGGTTTTTCTGGAGTTTCCTTTGTTCTCTTTTTTCTGCGTTGCTGTACTGTCAATACAGGTCTGTCTGCTAAACATTCTTTTCACAAAAATGCTCCATTATGCAGAAGAGTAAGTGCAAGTTGCTTGCGAGGCTAAGAGAACTGTTTCACTTGTAGCCATGGGTTAAAATTACTGGAACAGTAGTTGTTACCATGAGATGTTCTTCTGCTTCATAACTGAATCTTACTCCTTCAGTACACACAAGCATTCCTGGGCTTAATAATTCCTGTTCTGGGGTGGTGGTGGGTTGTTAAAGTCCTAAGAATCAAAGTAAGCATGAGGCCTCGTGCTGTTCCGTTTCAGAAGTTAACATTTTGGAATTGATATATATGCTACCTTTCTGTGAAAGAAAAGGCACTTTACAATTTTATGCAATGTCAGGAAGGATACAAAATATGCCATTTAAGGGCCTTTTCAGAAACTGAAAGTGTCAGCTTGACTTTTGTGCTGCTTCAGCTTCACATGCATGTCATGAAATAGTCCCTGAAGGAAGAGCAGTCCTTGTCACATTGTTTCTGGCTCTCTGGGTTCTCTTTGGATGTGTTTTGGAATGGGTGCTGCCTCTTATAGCTTCTCCTTAGTGTACCTGCCCAATTCTTCAGCTAGGTGATGGAATTATGAAGGAGCAGGTGCTGTAGTTGAATTCTTTTAGACTCGTGATAGTCTTTGGGAAGATGGATAGTGTGAGCTCACATGATACTACTTTTCACCTTGCAGGCCACAGTGTGCGGGTAATGTGAAGGGATTTGTTGGCTATGTCTTCTCCTCACATTGAGAATCATTCATATATATTTATTTATTTATTTTATTTATATCCCGCCCATCTGGTATATTATACCACTCTGGGCAGCTAGAGTAAATGTCACCAAGTACTTCATTAGGTAAAGGTAAAGGTTCCCCTTGACGATTTTTGTCCAGTCGTGTTCGATTCTAGGGGGCGGTGCTCATCCCCGTTACCAAGCCATAGAGCCAGCGTTTTGTCCGAAGACAATCTTCCGTGGTGACATGGCCAGTGCGACTTAGACACGGAACGCTGTTACCTTCCCACTGAGGTGGTCCCTATTTATCTACTTGCATTTGCATGCTTTCGAACCGCTAGGTTGGCGGGAGCTGGGACAAGTGACGGGCGCTCACTCCGTCATGTGGATTCGATCTTACGACTGCTTGGTCTTCTGACCCTGCAGCACAGGCTTCTGCAGTTTAGCCCACAGCGCCACCACATCCCAAGTACTTCATTACTGCGTCCATATATCCAGGAATATCTGACATTTAAAACAACAGCTTTTGATACTATGTTTGGCATCTTGCGCCATTGTGTTTATTTCAAAATGTACATAGTGGCAATGTTATGGGCTTGGGCAAGAGACTTGCATGCACTTTTTCATACTCATCAGTATGCATTGTAGTGTCAAGGGTACCCTAAAACCTAGATCACTATGTATGATACACAAATTAAATTGTTAAATTGCATAATAATCCGCAGAATAATACTACCATCTTCTCTTTTGGATGACAGGTAACAATAATTAAGAACCTTGAGCTGTATGGTCTAGATCCACAGGCTGTTGCTAATGTTCTGCAACAGAAAGTCCAGGCCAGTGCCACTGTCACCCAGCTCCCAGGAGCAAAGGACAGAGCCCAGGTCCAGATACAAGGCAATCAGATCAACCATCTTGCTAAGTTACTATTGGGTAAGTAGTTGCTGCAAGCACATAATATAGTTTATTAGGAATTGGAGCTTTTATGTTCGGCCACTTGACCAGTTAGACTGACACTTCAGTCCCACACGCCATGACCATCATGCTATCTTGAACGTATCTGACCTTGTGTAATTTTGCAATATAAGCAGAGAAGCGACTGCTTAGTAATAGCATGTGATAACACCACAGATCTCCAGATGGGGCTAGGAAAGAATGCCTCCTGAAGTCCTGGAGAGTTGCTACCGACTTGGCAGTTCTCAGCTAGATGGATCAGTGATCCAGCTCCATAAAAGGCAACTTCCTTCGTTCCTAACTAATATTATCCCTCACTGATGACTGTGCTGGATAAAGCTGATGAGATCTGAGTTGCAGTCAAAGAAGATTTCGTACCTCTACTAATTTATGTCTATACTGTGTACTCTCAACCTAAGCGGGCAAAGGATTACATCTGTCAGGAAGCATAAGGATAGTTTTATATGCATTGGAAAGGTTCCATAGGTAGAGAATTTCCCCTTCCTCTGCATCATGGCTGGTGTCCTTTTCTACCTTTCTGGAGACTGTTGTGGGGATAAGCAGTTTCAGTTTAGGGAAAATCCCCCTGTATACTCTAGGGCTCATGGGCAACCATTTTTAAATTTGGCCACTATAAGATTCAAGAGGAGGGTTTTTAAAATCGAACCTGCCTCCTTCTCCATTTTTTAAGAGCAAAGGAGGTGGGAGCTGTGGGTGAAGATACTGCTAGTAAAACCATCCTACTGGCTGCAAGTTTCAGAAATGAAATATTTTGTCCCGGGTGCTCCAAGAGCTGCTCCCACTACAAAAGAGATACCAAATAAGACTTGAGGTCTTTGCAGTGAAGGGAATGGGAAAATTTAAATATTTTGTCCCGGGTGCTCCAAGAGCTACTCCCACTACAAAAGAGATAACAAATAAGACTTGATGTCTTTGCAGTGAAGGGAATGGGACAATTTAAATTAAAAAAAAAACCTACTACAGCCTTAGTTGCCCTACTGGATTTTAGTCTGTGTATGCTTCACTGGGAACAGGACCACTGAACATCTGGCAAAAATTACATAGGACTGTAATTACATAGGTGGTGTAATATTTCGATTAAGATGGATACTTTGTTCTCATAGTCGCTCAATAATTGTCAAAACACACAGTAAACTGTAGACTGTCTTGTGTCACATACTACTTATTTCTTCATATTTCACTCTGTTGCAGAGAACTACCACATACCTCGGAAGTACATCAATGGCCTTGAGAAGGCACCAAAGACAGGCCGAAAGAAGTAGCCAAGCCCTGAGAACAAAAGCAAAGCTCCATAATTTATATTTTATTCATTACAAGTGAGTAATTCCATTGCCTTACCTCTAAAATAATGATTTTTATTTAAAAGATAAAATAAAAATACTTTTTGCCAAATGCTTTGTTGAGCTGCCTAAGTTCACGTTAATAGTTTCAGCAGCAGCTCCCGTGGATTGGAGCAGGAGGAAGGGGGAGGTTGATTTCCAGGTGGAGCAGTTTACCTTCTTGGCCAGAAAGAGAGGGCATGGGAAGACTGGAGGGGGAGCTGCAAAGACCGGGGGAGGGCATATTTTGCCAACCCCTGCTCTAAGGGAAATCTGCATTTTTAATAGCAGAAAATGTTGCTGTGTGCAACACTATCGCCTAAGAAACAGATCTCTGTGTCTGCGTGAGTAGCTCTTCTGCATTCACATGACTGTGTAGTTCTAGTATTTAGCCAAAGAGCACTTACTTCTGTGTAGAAATGTGGGCAATTTACGTTCATGAAACCTTTAAGAAATGCCCTTTCTGCACCTCTCATTTACTCACTCACCTAAGTATGGTGAGGCACAGCATACTCAAGAACTTTTTTGCCCCTGTTTCTCTGTGAATGGGAACTAACCAGGGTTAGAATAAATGTAACTTGTCATAAGGTGGGAAGGGGATGATTGACCTGTATGTTGTCATAAGATACAACAGAAGAGGCAGTACACTAGACCTTATCGGGTGATGCAGTGGTGTCAAGTTTTCACCAGGTAGAAATTTTGGTCCTCCATCTTAAGAATAAACAAGCCTCCCACAATAAACTCAGCTGCATCTACCCTGTATGAGCACACAGTATTTTTAGTCCAGTGTCTTTTGTTACAACTTGCCTGGTGAAAATATAGTAATTCAGAAAGCTTGCACACTGTGACTTTTTGGTTAGCCTACTTATATAAAATTAAAGTGGCTACTCCTGCTTTTGTTTGTTAAAAATTAGTTTCCTCATTGAGACTGGCACTTTTAAAACTAGCCCCTTTGCTTATTTAAATGTAGTATCTGTGTCTACCAGAAGAAGGCATAAGATGATGAAACCAAACTCACTCTTTTGAACCAACTTTTATCTGAGATTGATTTTAATAGCTTCTTACACATTTTGTATGGCATGAACAAATTGGTTAGGAGCTCTTTAAAAAAAAAAGCTGGACGGTGACAAAGTCATAGGGCGGAAACAGTAGTAAAAATAAATTACAGCATTGCAAAAATGTATTTAATTTCCCACAAGCTTTCACTAATTCCATTCTATACAGATTGTACATGTTTTACAGTTGACCATTAAAAAAGAAAAAAGTTACACATATACAGATGCAGGCAACACAACATACTAAACAAAGGCACTGCCAGCAGTAGTCTGTGCATCTTGAAGTTGGGGCCCTCCCTAACATACCTAAGGCTTCAGCTCTGCCACAGATCAAGTAGGTCCCTTTTCTCACACCATCTGAGCTTCACAATTTAAAAAAAAAATCTTAATGCCCCATAGCTAAATAATCTTTTAAAGAAAAACACCACACCCATCTATTTTGCAGGAGGCTTAAGTCAGCAGCATCCACATAAATTGCATAAGAAGCCATGCCTTCTATAAAATTGTTCAAGACATTCTGGGATGGGGGGGTAGGGAGAAGAGGAAGAGGATTAAAAGTGCCAGTGATTGAAAAGCTGGGGTGTGTGATTTTTGTTCTCATAAAAAGTAAAACAGAAAATGAAAAGGTCTCTGTAACATTCCTGCAAAGGTGTCAATAGTTACAAAACCTGCCTTCAGTTCTCCTCTCTCCTTGACATCACCATTGAAAGACCTTCTGGCATCTGTTTGCATTGTTGCTTTGTTCAGGATTTTCTACAATGCTTAAGAGGATCTTGAATGTCTTCAAGGGTCAGCATTTTCCAGGTGCTGCTCTGTGAATGTTTCCCACTTTCTTTATGCTATGCTCATTTTTTTTTCAGTACCTACAGGTGCTGGGTGCACCCGTCCCTCAGTTTGTCCTGTTCTAGAATGAATTGTCTCCATCCAGCCTACCCAAGGAAACCTTTGCTTTAAGGGACATGCAAAGAACATCCCAGGGAATGGCCAGGTGTTGAAAATGGATTGACTTTGGGGCCTTACACCATAAATATTCTCAGTAGGAGGGAAATTAATCTTCCTTTTCTGAATCAGGGGCAAGATGGGTTAAGGTTGGTTTGAAGTCCTGTACTTTTGCTTCTTGGGGTTTGCATCAGCAAGGACACAGTTGTAGCCAAGACACCTTCTGCAGCCACATGTTCACTCACACTTTAAGCTAGCCCCCAAGGGAAATCTCTAGAACCTAAGTTTATTGAGTCAAATGAAATGCACTTCACAGTGAAATGCACTTAGGAATGGGGGCAGATTAGGAGATGTAACCATTCCTTTGTTGCATAAAATCACCGAATTATCTGCAGAAAAAAAAACTCTTGTTTCAATATCACAGCAAGGAAACTATTATCCACTTTCCTGTAAACGTGAGATGTAACTGCAGTTGCTGTGGGCTTTGGATCTAAATAATTTGTCACTATCCTCCTCTATCTTCAGTCTCCCCAGTTACATGACAAGGTTCCATCTACATGGGTTTCTTTCTCACAGCAGCTGCTACAACAACTGTAAAACACCTGTTTCTTTCCATGTGGAAGAATTATAAGCAGACGTTCTGCCGAATTCTCACAATACTTGCTTATACTTTCTGCTACTTCAGTATACCGAAAGAATTGAAGGACACCACAGATCTTGCAAATTTTGCACAAAGGGCACATCAGGAACTACCTGTTAAGTTTAGGGGACTCTTCCTTGGATACACTGCTAGGGGCAGGACATGTACAGTACCTCTCTACCTGTTTATACTTGATCTCTGGCCGTGATATTTGGGACTGATGAGAGTTAGAATTTAACAGCATCTGTAGGGCCAAGGGTTCCCAGTGCTGCCTTAGCAGAAATGAGGTGGCTGATTGCAACTTGTGCCACTTTCAATTTGGTTGAAAATCAAGCAGGATGGAAAAATAAAGAGTCAGCGGATTGGCCAAACACAAGGTTGCCCCTCATCTCATATTGCATGTGGGCCTGTAACAGAAAAAGCCCAGTACTATTTTTCATTCTCCTCAAGGTCTTGCCATAAGTTTCAGACTAAAGGGTGACTAACATCTCTAATGCTTCATGCTAAGGGGCAAGTCATCTCACTGACAGATCTTTCAGTACTGGTCCCAGTTCCTCCTATATAAGAGGAAACAGATCCAAGTGAGACTACTCTTAAATATTGGGGTAGCAGTGGGCCAAGCAAACAAGCCTCCTGAGGTGCCAACCCCCCTCTGCCCCCACCAAAGGTATCCTTTTCCCCTGAGAAAACACAAATTCCTAACTCAAGGCCAAAGCACTCTAGCATTCATCAAGATATACTCTACAGTCACAGCTTTCTTGGCATCTGTTCAGACAGTTCTCTTCATGCTGTTGATTAGTCTGTTTGGCATCCTCTGCACTGCGCAATATATACTGCCCACAGATGTCAAAGCAATAATCCTCTACGTTGGCATCCTCTGCACTGCGCAATATATACAGTACTGCCCACAGGTGTCAAAGCAATAATCTTCTACAATCCGATTCAGTGCATCCAATAGCCCATGTGATGAAATTACCATGAAAGCACATTCATTGCACTTCTGCCCCACATGTATACACAAATCCAGTAGGTGAGATATAGGGAAGAGAGGTGAAAGGAGGCCACAGTTTGGGTCTGGCCCTTAGCATTCATAACATAAGCAAATCTATTCCTTGGACATTCAGCATCTACTGCAAAGTTCCCTGGCCATGATGTGTAGGGTGATCACGGTGGTAAGAGAAGCAGTGCTCCATTTTTGGTTTCTGAAGGAACAACGGACTGGGACATCAGCTTCCCATTTCGTCATGAGCAGTTAAGTGCATCTGGGACTGCAACTGATCAAAAAAAGTGTCCTGAGGAAAAAAAAGTCTTCGTTGGGTGTAATTTTTGTATTGTTTTTTAAATATATATATATATGTATCTATTTTTAATGTTCAGTTTCTCACTTGCCATGCTACCAGCACTGGTTATCCCGGCTTCCCATTTGCTTCTTTCAAGGCCTCTTGCAGTTTTTGTTTAAACTTGTCATACTTTTTCTGAACTTGCTGGATTTTTTCTTTTTCTTCCCTTTCTAGTATGACTAGGAAATTCTGTAGTTCTGGAATAGAGAAGTCATCCCACTAAGGAAAAAAAAGGGTGGTGGGGGGGAGAGAAACAAATACATTTTATATTGTCAAACAGATACGTATTTTTCTCATTGCACATGCCAGTCTATAACCTGACCATCAAAATGTTTATAAGGAACTTTCTTGCCCTTCTGAAATTATGTATTTTTTCAGTTCCAGTGGAAACCTCCAGCATAAGAAAAAACCTCCTACCTCAAGGAAGCAGAAGCCTCCTACAAGGAAAATTATGTATACAATAAACTGTTTTCTTTCTTGGCTTTCAAATACAGCAGGGCTTGGCTATGTAGATGATGACTCTGAAATAGGTTTTGCTATGTTTTAGTCATCACTCTTTAGCTCAATGGGTGCAATTTAGGGACCAAATTCAAAATTGCAGCTGGTAGAGATCTGCTACCAGCAAAACAAGTGGGGAGGTGACTGCTGATGCTTTTCTTCTCTCAGAAAAGTTTCCTGAAAATGTGATTTACAGCAGGGGTCCCCAACCCCAAGTCTGGGACCCGGCAGCGGTCCACGGCCTAGGCAGGACCGGGCCATGGATATAGATCTCCTGCCCCCCAATGAGTGCCCCCCATGAGTGCCACCGCGTACATGTGTGCGAGCATGCTTTGCCCCTGCAAGCGCTCTGTGTGCATGCATGTGAGAGCCACCATGTGCATGTGTGCAAGCGCACTCTGTCCCCTGCAAGCATGTTGTGCCCATGAGTACTCTGCGTGTGAGCACACACACACCCCGCGGGCATGTCACACAACCTGTGTGAGCGTGCCATGCCCCCCCCAACTGGTCCGCGGTTGGGAAAAGGTTGGGGACCACTGCTTTACAGCAAGAGGCAGAACATGGGGGACTGCAAAGGGAAGGGGGAATTCTCAACAACTGTGTCCAAATGGGCTTTCTCCAACAAGGAGAGCCTCTGCTAGATCTTAGTCCATTCTTTAAACACAGTGGGCTCTTCTATGTGTGAAACAGCTGGTCTACATGCAACCCACCCTGTGCACCCCATTGTCTAATTTTGTGTAATGTTTCCTGTTCAAAACATGAAATACCCCAAACATTTTTAACATCCCAAGTTCAAAGGTTAATTTGGTGAGATTGTTCTGTGAAAGCAATTTTTGTGGAAATTCATGGCAGCTTACTAAATAAATATTATTTATCACTAAATATAACTAAATAAATATTAACCAGAGATCCCTAAAAATAATCCACATTTTTCAAGTTTGAGTACAAAGAGACGTTTCAGATTTCACTGTGAGCATCTTTTGAATAGGAAATACTGCCCTGCCCCTAACTGCTCATTGAGAGCCAATGTCTGAAGATAAAGTAGATAACGAATCCAGACTTTTATAAGCATAAGGAAAAAAACATTCTTGGAAGGAATCAAAACATTTTGTATTGCCAACATACTCCTTGAGAGAAAGCACTGCAAAGCATGAATCTTGTTGTAATTGGCATCCATGGCTGATGCTTAGTGTAATACATCATAACTAGAATTAGGTCCATTGAGTCAACTGACCTTATGGAGAAGTTGACTCACCAAATCCCCACTGATTCAGTGGGCTTACTCTAGTTGCTAATTTGCAATAAGCAACAAGATTTCAGTCAATAAGGGAGAAAGTGGCTATTTAAGGTGCAAGGACCCTGGAGATTCTAGGTTTCTGGTAAAATAATATTCAGTGTGCTAGAATAAATTCTGCTCCAAAACAATCTCCTCTTATGGTTGTTGTGGGTTTTTCAGGTTCTTTGGCCGTGTTCTGAAGGTTGGTCTTCCTAACGTTTCGCCAGTCTCTGTGGCCGGCATCTTCAGAGGACAGCACTCTGTGCTCTGGTTGCTGTCCTCTGAAGATGCCGGCCACAGA